TTGATCGAAGTGGGACGTACGAGGTCTTCTCTCATGATCTTCGCGGCGGTTGCTAAATCAGTACCGTGCCCGGCGGTATAGATGTAAGAATCCCCCGGTGGGTCGTTTGCTGAGGTTCCAGACGGCCTCCGCTGTTCCCCTTTCCAGGGATAAGCAACATAGTATGGACGCCGTCCGAGATTGGCGTCACGACGGCACTGAGCTCCTCACAGGCCGATCTTGTGCGTGATTGGAACACTGCATATGCGAACTCCAACAAGGTGCTGTGCTTGATGTTGGTTTCCGCTGCAATCTCACCCAAAGTTTGCGCCAATTTTTGAGCTTCTTCGACATCGACGGCATGAGGAGTTGGCTTTTCGCTGTCGAAAAGCTCCGAGAACGGGATGATATCCACTTGTGGGGGTCTGCTGTGTTTGCCCAAAGGTTCGAAGCTTTGTGGTGGCTGAAAAATCATCGAAGATGGATCCCGGTCAGCCGTAGTATGCTGTCGTGGGGCAGAGGAGGGAGGGGACGGCGCTTGTTGGTGGGAGGATGTGGCTTGTCCCCTAATCTGTTGCGCCACCCGCTGAAACTGTGAGACTAGACTGCGGGAGTTGTCGTCTTGTCTGCGGTGGTGCTGCTGCGGAACGGCTGGGGGAGTCGGCAATCTTTGCATTCTTCTTGTTGGTGGTGTGTGCTCCCTTCGATAATGCCAACGGTCCTCTTCCATCGTGTGGGCCTGCACCGTAGAGTAGCTGCGTAGTACCACAGTAGTTGCCCGGGGTTCCGATGGCTCGCAACTGCTCCTGCTCCTGCTGTTTTGGCGGGTGCGCCGTCTTCTTGTGGCAGAGACGTCTTCATGCCGACGGCGGCTGTGCGATCGTTGATGTCGCCTGTGGTGTGTCTTGCGACGTCGATGCTGGCTGCGGCTCATAGTTCGTGCTCTGGTGCGGGGACGGGAGCGATGTCGTCTGCGAGGAAGAGGGGATGCCGGGCGCTGTGCTTCCCCAGACGCGGTCGGTTGTTGAGCCAAAGAGGCTGGATCACTTGCTGTATTGTTGGGTGCTGTAGTTGTTGTAGCTGGTGGGTTTGCATGAGCGGTGTCCGTGGGAATCGGCATCGAGGAAGGAGTGGGGTGCGGGTTGTGGACACTTGTGGTGTTGGGAGGGTTGGGAGGGTTTGCTGGGGTGTGTAGGTTTTGTGTGGGTGGTGTAATGGTAATGCTCTGCGGGGCGAGCTGCGTTGAGGGGGAAAAGTTGGTGGTGGGGTGAGGAGAAAGTTGTGATGTGGTTTGCTGAGTGATGGCTGGGGACATATGTTGTGTGGCGGGAAAGTAGGATGACGAATGTGGCTGCATGATTTGTTGAGGTGGGGTTTGTTGTGTCATTTGTGGCTGTGTGATGCTGGAGTGTGGGAAGAACATGATTTGTTGCGAGATCGGAGCTGTTTGCCCGCAAGGGTTGCAGGGTGTCAGCGGTGTGTGTAGAACATTGTCTGTGTGGTGTATGGTTTGCTGCAAGGCCTGTGGCTGCTGTGTCGGGGCTACCAAGTTAGGTGGAGAGGCCCCTTGAAGGGCCGAAACATGTTGCATCCATGTCGGAGGCTGCTGTTGCTGGATGAATGGCCGTGCCACCGGTGCATATGGTGAAGCCGGTGTCCATGTTGCTTGCTCCATCGGCAGCTGCTGAAGAAAGGCCGGCTGATGGCCGTATCCCGCCGGGCGCTGGGCGGCATACTGTTCATGCCACATGTTGGTGAAACGTAGACAAATGCAAAAACCAATGCAAACGTGAGGCTGTCGGTGCCTTGTTGTCTTGAGAGAAGTCGAAGAGGCAGAAGAGAGGCCGATTACTTCCCGGAGGAAGCCTCATTCCCTTGCACTAGCCGTCACTTACTGCGCCTGCACTCATGTAAGTTGCACGTGCCCTTGCGTTCCCTGAGGAATAAAGAAGCGATCGAATAGAGGACAGACTAGCGAGGTAGCACCTGCTCACTAGACGCAATTTACCGCATTAGCCGTCCGTTACTGCGACTGCACTCATGTCAGGCTCACATGCAGGCATCAGAGAGAGAGAGGTAAAGTAGCATCCGGAGATCTGAACAATCTGAACGAAGGCTGAACATCCGGTTTATCACCGGTTTCCCACGAAGGGTCACCACGGCGCCTTGACGGAGAGCCGTTGTTCTGGAGTCTCGGGACTCACAGTAGTCACACTGACTGATTCGGCCGAGAGTACGAGTGCAAGAGGAAAAAGAGAGGCATGTTGTACTTGTTGCAAGTGCTTGTCAGATTGCGGCAAACGTACAATCATAAAATTGTTTGCCTAATCTGGACACCACAGGGGGCCTGTCCTTGAACTAATCTTGGCACCACAGGCTGCCATGCAGGTACGTGGAATCAGCGTCCTGATTCCATATCACCATGCTGAAGGAGCGTCTTCGTTGAGTGGTGACTCCGACAGCATGCACCACTCCCCTGCAAACAATCATGTGTTTCAATGAAATAATGTTCAATAAAAGTTTCAGCATCGATAGAAAGGAGTGACCCTCTGCTCCCATGTGCTAGGGAGGTTCACACTGACGGATTCGGCCAAGAGTAAGAAGAGGAGAGTATGTTGTATGTTGTTGTCTAATCTGGACACCACAGGGGGCCTGTCCTTGAACTAATCTTGGCACCACACGGGGCTGCCATGCAGGTACGTGGAATCAGCGTCCTGATTCCATATCACCATGCTAAAGGAGCGTCTTCGTTGAGTGGTGACTCCGACAGCATGCACCACTCCCCTCCTGCAACCGCGTTGGAGTGACCCTCTGCTCCCATGTGCTAGGGAGGTTCACACACACACACACAGCCCCACCATGGGGCGACTGTGTGCAGTGGAATAAAGCCGCGCCAGGGCTCCAAGACCTAAACGAACCCAAACTAAACCACAAGACCCTGTGGGCTGCAATGCCAGTTTGCAAAGCTTGTCGATGTGGTCCAGAATGTATTAATGTTGTGGTAGTCCAAGCTGTGGTGAGGCGTTAAAGTTACGGTTCAGGACTGTCCTTCAGCTGGGCACGCAAGCCCCCAGAAGCGACAGAGGGGAAGGAAGGCTGATCAGCTGCCCTTGCGAGGGCCCAGATCCAGCCGGGGACTGTTCCTCAGCTGGGCGCGACGGCCCCCAAAGGCAACAGTAATGAGGGTTAACGGAGGAGACTGCTACCCAGCTACCCTCAAAGGGGTCCAGGGCTAGCAGCTTCTGACCAATGTATTGCACATGTGGTTGTATGTTGTAATTATGGTGGTGAGATTAGGGTGAGGACACTCCTTCCAGCTGCCATCAAAGACCCACGAACGGAGTGACTACTGCCCAGCTACCCGAGCAGGGTCCAAGGCCAGTAGCAGGATTAGGGTATTCCACCCTCCAGCTGTGTAGCAAAGACACCCAGGAGCGGTGGACCATCCTCCAGCTGTGCAGAAAAGCACCCAGGAGCAATGGAACGAGAGGTACCACGTCCTGCGTGGTCCTCAACTTAAGGTGCGGGGTTAGGGGGAGAGAAAAGCGCGATGGCCAATTACTTCCCGGAGGAAGCTTCATTCCCTTGCACTAGCCGTCACTTACTGCGTCTGCACTCATGTCGGTTGCACATGCCCTTGCATTCCCTGAGGAATAAAAAAGCGATCGAATAGAGGACAGACTAGCGAGGTAGCACCTGCTCACTAGACGCAATTTACCGCATCAGCCGTTCATTACTGCGCCAGCACTCATGTCAGACTCACATGCGAGCATCAGAGAGAGAGAGGTAAAGTAGCATCCGGAGAGCTGAACAATCTGAACGAAGGCTGATCATCCGGTTTATTACCGGTTTCCCACGAAGGGTCACCACGGCGCCTTGACGGAAAGCCGTTGTTCTGGAGTCTCGGGACTCACAGTGGTCACACTGACGGATTCGGCCAAGAGTAAGAAGAGGAGAGTATGTTGTATGTTGTTGTCTAATCTGGACACCACAAGGGGCCTGTCCTTGAACTAATCTTGGCACCACAGGCTGCCATGCAGGTACGTGGAATCAGCGTCCTGATTCCATATCACCATGCTGAAGGAGCGTCTTCGTTGAGTGGTGGCTCCGACAGCATGCGCCACTCCCCTGCAACCGTGTTGGAGTGACCCTCTGCTCCCATGTGCTAGGGAGGTTCACACACACTCACACACACACACACACTTACTTACACTTACACTTTTTCGCACGAGATGAGCAAGACGGTAGCCTGTGTGTCGGTTGTGAGTGTGTTGGACTGGTATCCTAAGCACTTGCATGGCAGCGGAACCGGCGCGAGCTGGTCTCGGGTGGATGCGCAGCCGGGAAACCCCTCGTGTTTCGTTGGGCTGCAGCGACCACTTCAACGCAACCACGGCGCCCAAGCAAGGCTTTTCTTCTTGTGAGGTTGTGAAATAGCCCGAAGCCCCGGGTTCTGGGGAGCAACAGGGCCGAGGTCAGCAAACACCACGAAGAAGGTAATGCCTACGTACGCCGTACGCTGCCCGGGAAGCAGAAGCAAAGAGAAGGGCCGAGGCAAAGTCCAAGAGGTCCAGGCGGAGGAGAGGGTTGAAAGCGAAGCGCGACGCCATGATCCTTCGGGAGTCGTCCGACGCTAACGTTGAATTGCGAAGCATCTGTGTAAAGCCTCAAGGTCAAGCTCCGCATGTTTGTGCGTTTGAATCCCGTCGTTCGGAGTTTTTGGGCGCTGTTGGGAATGGTCTGGAGAAGTGGCCTGGGTGCGGTCTTCCAAAAATCTTCCCTGCGCTTGTTTGATCCTTGAGGGCTACGCTCGCAGAATTTGGAAATATTTGGAATGCAGGTTTGCTCATCGCATGCCCTGTGCATACATTGTGCTTCTGACATGTGTTGGACTGTTTTCTTGATGTGGTGCACTCATGCTTGCTCGGATGTTGCATCTGTCTGCATTTCTTCGCAAGTGTACTTTGGGTTAAAGAGAATGATTGGTTGCATGCTGCTTTCCAGCCATGGTCCATCTGGAGGCAGCACTAGGAGACGGCGCTCGTGTCCAACTTCGGCGCAGCAAGACGTCCTGCTGAGCAGGACCGGGCCCAGGTCCAAACAGATGCTAAGGCCTTGTGTAGCATGGAAGATCATGGAAGACTGGAAGCCCGTCCACTTTCCACGAGTGACAAGCGCCTGCAGGGTACTGGCATGACAGGGTAGGTGGGTGCGCAGCGTCCCACGCAGCATCGTCCATGGTCATCTAGCAGATTGTGCATTGTGCTCAGACGGCAGCGACCTGCACGAGCGAGTTGTTGGAACAGAGCTCCATATGTGTAATGCGCCTACACGAGGGATCACAGGGTAGCTGCAAGGGTGCTTGCAGCTCACATAGGCGGAAGTCTGAAGCGAGGGTAAGATCGGTCGCCGCGAAGATGTGACAGCTCCTGACATGGAAGCCACGCATGCTGTTAGGAGGACGACATGTTTAACCTTTGAACAATGCTGAACACATGTTGCCTTGTCTTCTTTAACACATTGATGCTCCTCGCGTTGCCATGCGTGCAGGATCCTTTACTCTTGTCAGCCACACTGGAACAGCTGTGGCTTAGTCTGGGCATCGGGCTCGCAGCACGTACTTTGGAACGCTGCCGAGCAGTGCGGTTGGCATTTCCGGCTGTGTTGCTATCCTGAATCTGCAGGAAAGCCGTCGAACATGTGCTGGGCACTGCTACGCTGAGGAGGTTCTAGTAGACTTTGCCGTATGTGCGTATTCCTCCATGTACAGCAGCTGCTAGCAGGCAAATTAACTTTAACTTGAAGGTGCTGTTCACCTGATGATTCGATTGTACAGGGACAGCATTGGTCATAATGTGTTGACTGGGGCTGCAGCGAGGAGGTCATAAGCAGTTGCAAGGCACATAAAGGCACAGAATTGCTGATGGAATGAACCTGAAGATTGCTGCAGACCTTTGCGAGAAGTTCATAGCAACACCTTGTCGAGCGGGGTCGCGGGCGATGCGGGGACTTCTGATGTATGCGGGGACAAGACTGCCCGTTTCTGCATTCTTGACATTCCACACTCTCGAGTCATTGACAGTAGCTTTCATTGGCAGAGCCAATTGTCAGCTGAAGCGCCGCAAAGCATGTTGTCATCCTGGCATTTCTGCGGATGTTGTCAACACGGTCGGCATGCTGCAGCTTCTTTACATTTCTCTGTGAGTCATGCAGCATTTCATTGGGCAGCTTGTTTTCGCAGACTTGCTCACATGCAATCTACTGCATCGTGGCTTTGTGGGCTGTTGTGCGCTAGGTGAATGCTGCATTCCCCATTAAGCGAGTCGATCATGGTAGCTAGCAAGTTGCAGTAGTTTATTCAAATGGAGGCCGGCGCAGTTTGGACAGAACGTGAGAGCGGCAGAAACCTGAAGAGCAGCAGCAGGTCTAGCCTGCCGGCACAACCCTGGATGCCGCTGTGATGGGCCATGATCCCAGTAGACATGTGAGCTTCGCACCGATTCAATATCATTTCCACAACAGCATAAAAGCCAAGCCTCTTGGACGGTCACATTAGGCAAGGCTTCAAAAGAATTGCAAGGGACTCATGCTTCTCGAGTAGGGGGTCAGCCTTTGAGCCCATGTGCTGATTAAACAGCGTGCAGGAGATGTACCGATACTATCCCTGCAAAATTCCTGAGTGGCGGCAGGTGGCAGGTCGCGGCACTTGACATTCCCAGTCCCAGGCTGTGGTGCGAGCACCTCCTCCCTCGCAAAGGACTTGGAGCGCTCGCAGCTGGAGGCGCTACGGGGAACTCTGCGAGCCGAAGTCAACTCTGCACCTTCGAAGCATGCTGTGCCAGTGAGCCTTGCATGCCTTGCGCTGTGGCAGTGCTAGATGCGCAGCATGTGCCGTGCACGCTGTTCATAGGTTGCCATGATCTGCAGTCGCATTGAGCGAGTTCTTCTCACAAAATTGAGTGGCGATCAGACCGCGACCGCACGACCTTCCTGCCTGCGAGGTTGAGAAATTGCAGAAGGAGCTGCAGGCCAGGAAGAGCCGGGGATCCACCTGAGAGTGCTCTGCTTCTCTTTGTGCAGGAAAGCGAGCACTGCCGGACGGTTCTCGAGAAGCGGCTCAAGGCTGCGCAAGTTGCGGCAACCCCATCCCGTTGCAAGCCGCCAGTGCTTGCCTGCAGCTGTTCGTCGATACTTTAGGAATACGGGTCGGCACTTTCCCAACCATGCATGTGGAAAAGACAGGCCGAAAGCCAGACTCCCAAACCCAAACCCAATGCATAAATATGTTAGGATCATTCACAGCACGCAGTGCAATTGAAATTACCGTAGAACCGATGCGGATCAAGAGCGCGAGAGATTTCGTCGCAGCGACTAGCCCTGTCGCATTCTTTGAATCAACCTTTGACCTACCAATGCCTGCCGTCCCGGTTCTCCACATTGGGATTTTGCTCTCTGAGTGAATTTGTTCAACGATTCCAGAAGCTGAAAGGAAGTGGTGAACCGACTATCCAAAAGCTCCGGAGTATGTCCGGGATCTTGATCTTGGATTCTGGGTGGTAGTCTCGGCAGTCTTATCGGTTCGAGTACAAGTGTCATGGATGTCGTTCCAGAAACGTTGCATGTGTCATTTTCGCAGTGTTGCAGAAGCTGACATGGCTCAGATGGACACAAAAGCGAGAGTTTTCCGTTGCATAGGATTGAACCCAGAAACCTGCACCGGCCGACTGCCGATCCACCGGGAAGCTGCATTATCCGCAGGTTGCCTTGTGAGTCAAGATGCAAAAAAAAAGCGACAAGGACAACCGCCGGGTCCGGACTTAAACTCAAGAAATCCTCGCATGGCAAAGCTCAAAAAACACAAACAGTGTGCTCCTGCACCGGACGTTCATAGTTCGATGTGGCCCGAGTTTTCACATTCCTTTGGCGGAGTTTTGTTTTAGTGTGCCGCAAGGCCGTAAGGAGTCTGCAGGACAAGCAACCGGATATTTGCGCATGTTTCTGCGACCACGGCACGTTCAGTAAGATATTCTTTTTCCGACAAGCTTTCGGATATGAAGCAGGACGCACCCATGACGAGAGATTACGAGAGCGGGGGAATGTCAGCCGCATTGGCCTGACTACACAGCTAGCCTGCAGCAAGCACCTCCAGGACCGGCATGGGACGACAGTGCTCGTGAAAATACCTTACTGCACGAACCTGGCGAGGGCGATGAGTCTGCTCATATACTACTAGTAGTCGAGGTGCATGGTAGCATGCTGCCCATTCAGCCAGCACGCAATCGGAGCATCCACTGCCCATCGACAGATTATTTTTCTCAGGCAGAACCGCTGCTGAATGCACGCGATGCACGTGTCACTTGGCCAAAGCTGTTGCCCAACAGTCGGTAGCAGCGGATCGCCATATTTCGCCACTGTCCAAGGCCAAGGCTGGTTCCAACTCTCTCGTTGCGGATCGCTGTGAGGTCCGCAGCGAGCGTGGTGCAGCAGTGCCCGGGTGTTCGCTCCGGGCAAAGGCTGTCGTAGCTGTGGAGCCGTCTCCGACCCCCATCGAGGAGGGAAGGGCACCGGACTGGGGCCTGGGGCGCTTCGCACGGCGCTTTCAGCGGCAGAGTAGCTTTCGGCTTTCGCGCCTCGGAGGAGCACTCGGCGGAGCTTTTGATCGATGCACCAGGAGGCGCTTGACGGATCTTGACGGTGCTTGCGAGTACTCATGGCCGTTGCTGTGGATCGCAGGGCTTCCCTGTGTTGCTGAGCTGGAGAACGTGGCGGACGCTCAGAAGGCATATATACATATATATATATATATATATATATATATATATATATATATATGCATGCCCATGGAAGCAATGCAGAAAGACGAAGTCGAAACAGTGTCGGAGTTGAGTGTGCGCATGAGGCAGGCGATGTGGGACATCAGGCAGTGAGCAGCAATGAGCAACGGAAGCTTTTCAGTTTGACATGCTGTGTTTGCATTACGTCTCAGCCATACCCTTCCAGCACCACCACAACCAGCCGGCAAATTAAGCAGGTGGAGCTGCCGGGGATCGTTGTGCACGAAGTGGAGGTTCCAGACGCAGCAAACGGCTCGAATATGCTCGAATTGTGGCTCACGTTTATGATGCCAGGTGTCAGCAGGCGGTGACAAGACCGAGGTCTCCACCAGACATTGCTTCGATGCTTCTGGGGAGTTCCATGTTTCATTTCAGATGCTTGTCGATGGCCACGGCATTTTACACTTTCTGGTCCTATTGGTAGGGGCAGCAGCAAGTTTCCCTGGAATCCACGGCCTGGAGCTTGGCCAGTCTGTCTCTTGCGAGCATGTCCAGACCAACCTAGTGAACTTTGTTTTGTAATGTGTGACAGAGTTCGTCATCCTCAAAGGTTTGTTTGGGGACGGCATACGTTTGCACACAAATGTTGTGCGTTTGTCAAGGCAAGCACTTGCAGCCCTGGTGTTCTCACCAAGTCTGCCTCTACATGCAGCCAGTGCCTCTGCGAGGCCAGTTAAGTTGGAGTGTTTCCACCGTACTTGCGCCAATTGCCAAGCTAAATGCGGGGCAGAGACTCGCTGAGCTTTGGAACCTTGATAGCTTCTGCAGAGCAAAGTTTCCTAAATCTCGCATGCCGCAGCAAGCGCAGCGACTGCTTCAGTCTTCGATTCGTGCAACTCCCGTGAAGGGTAGTAGAACATGATGCACACTACTCGAAAAAATCCGTTGCTTGTGGGGTTTCTATACTTGTAAGGGCTTGCTTGACTGAATATGGGAGACGTTGAAACCCTCTGTTGTCTTTGCCACAAGGCCACCAGCCTGTTCCTGGATCCAAGCGATCTGAACCAGTGCCTGGGTGCAGTCGCAATCTCGGTTTCAATGCTTGAGCCAAGCTTCTGGTCTTTCGGGCGAGGTACTGTGAGAGCTGCTGGATTGAGTATTACGGACACCCACCTTCTCGCTCGGAGCTGGCGCTGGTTCCGGTAGAGGCGAAGCATGACAAGCAGGGAAGCAGAGTGAAGCAGACTGCAAAGCACCGCGCTATGAATACCAAAGCGCACTGTTCTGCTTATTGAAAGCGCAGAGCTTGGTCAGGTGTCAGAGCCTTTGGCAGAGGACCGCCGTGCTCAAGAGACTTTCAGAGTCGATGGAGAGCGTCGCTGCACTGCTGCATTGCCGAGGAAGTCCTTGCAGAGGCCTGGTCGGAGCAAATTCTGCCAGGCTGGCCTCCACCCTACGCTTGAGCCTCAGGGGCCAGGGTTCTGCAGGTTCCTCTGCCGGATGGGTCACAACGAACCTGCAGTATGGAGAAAATCAAGCGGGCGCTGAGCGGAGAACCGAAGCAACCGCGCAAAAAGTCGAATTTGGATTGGCGATGTTTTGAATTTGTCCGGCTTAAACAGATGCGTTCACGAGTCATGATGCACTGCATTGGGAGCAAGCAAGCAACTATTAAAAAGCGAGAAGACCGAACCTCACAGAATAGATCCCTGCGAGGTTAACATGGTAGACAGCCGACAGCCTGCCTCAAGAGCGACAAGTAAGAAGTACATTGCTGACCACGCTGACTCGAGAACCATGCCGCCCTTTAAGCATGCTTGAAGCCAGAACCCAACACCCTCCCCGAAACCCTCAACCTGGTGCCCTTAGCCCTCAGTTCAACATCCCTTCATCCACTGGGATCCTGTGGCCGGAGTGGCGTAGTGGTGCCTCAAGTGTATTACGGCTTTTTACGGTGGCACCTCTGTGCTCAAAGAAGACGCGAGGTGATGCGAGGTGTGCTCTCTCTCTAGTGACTCTTGTGTCTAATGCCTCGCAGGCTGTCCCGCTATGGTGGGCTTTTCGCCTTCGAAGATCTTCTAAACTGCCGACTCTTTCCACTTTCTTGGACTGGATATGAAGACAACTTCAATTTCAGCTCATCTGCAAGACGTCGAAGAAACCGCTGGCGAGCATTCCTGTTTCCTGTGAAGGAGAAGGCTGTGGCGTGGCCTACGTGTTTACGGCCAGGCCACCACCCAGACCATCCTTGGAGCCGTGGCCAGCTGAAATTGGTATTCAAGATTTTCAAGAGGCCGTCGCTGCTCGGATGTGGCTCAATTCTGTTTGGCGGCTTTGACGGCTTTGAGCTGCCGCAACACTGGCATGGTATAACAACAAATTTCGCCTATGTAGCCAGTAATGCAACAGCTCCATCCATCGGGCTCAGCATTTCTGTGCAACACGCAAAATGCGCAGCTCTGTCGTGCGCTTCTTGAGGAGCCTCAAAGAAACCCCCGTCGAAGGCTAGATTCCGAAATTCCAAAATGACATCAGAGCTGATGCAGTTGACTTGCCTTTTCAGATGTGTGTGATTCTCAAGTGCCATAAAGGGTGTCTTGGGTGCTTGAGGCAGGCGACGAAAGGAACGCAGTGGGCCTTACTGTGTTTGCTTCATTCTCTTCTGGGAGTGTGTCACTTTCCGTCCCACACAGTTTTCCGCTCCGACAATTCCAAATCCGAGTCCGCGTCTTGGAAGGGCCTTACCATGCCAGAGGCTTAAGTTCTCCGCAGCTTCTCGATTGATTCGTCACGAGCGTTTCCGTATTTCCGTCCACGTTGATCACGTGCCCGGCATGTTAAATGATGTCGCCGATGCCCTCAGCCAGGGCTTCTCGAATCCGTCCGACTCAGGCTTCCAGGACAATCCACCCTTCCCTGTGAACTGGTCCCGTCTGTCACGCCAACGACTTTGACTCTTCCCACCCCCGGCGACGGGTTCCTTGCACGTCGGCGCACTGTTCTGGGTTTTTTTCAACCGTTGATGGATTGCTCGGTCATCTGTGGTTCGACCGCCACATAACGAGCTGTCTCCGAGACTGCTTCACGGACCCCGCCCTTTTTTCGGAAACAGCAGGGGCACACCCAAACGTTACCGAGCGTGGCCGGATGTGTGCTGTGGGTGAGTACGCTACGGCAATCGATCGCAGCCTTCGGCATGCAGCAGTCGGTTGCACTGTGACTTGAACGCTTCCGTCCCGTTGCGCCACCTAGTGGTTTTTGAATTCCAACTTGCACCCCGCATGCATCCCTTGCGGCAGGGATACTGCAGACTTCCGGTCGCTGCTCCAGCGAACACCCGTTGTCTGTTTTTCGCCTTCTGCTAGACGGCTTCACACCGCTTTTGTTTGCTTGTTCCGCCAACTCGACCGCCACAAGAGGAGCTGATCCCCGATTGGTTCCGTCCTCTCCGAGATTGTTTCGCAGACTGGCTTTTTGGCAACAGCACTAAAAGCATTCTGCCCGTGCGATCTTTGCGAGTACATGCGCACCTAAGCTTCACCCAAACCTGTGGAAACGATTCGCTTTGCGCAACTGTCCGTACTTTTCGATACTGTGTATGCCCGCCTTTGAAGCCACGGTGGTTTCTGAAGCCATCTTGAATGAGATGGATGGCGAGTATTCTTCTGCTGAGCCCGTTGATGCAGGCTTTGCTTGAAGTGGAACCTTTGCAGTTCGGTTTTGGTTTTTGCGCGGCCAGCTGCAGCAACGAGGAGGCGTCTGAAGCTTGCAGGCTGGCTGAGAAAGCGTCCGGGATGAATGAAGTTCACAAACTGGGCGCACCGCGGCGACTACATAATTCGCAGCAAGACTTCAAGACAGTCATTTATGAAAGATGGCTTGTCGTGTCAAACGGGATGCACCTTCTGGGGGTCCTCGAGATGCGTGCGTGCTGGGCAGGCGTGGGAGTTGCTAGTAAAGGCATGCATTCCGCACATGCTTTTGGCGTGCTACGGCCCACATCTTGGGGACAGACATTCTGCCTGGTCTCGTTTGTGTTGCCAGCGAATCCAATCCAGTTGTCGGACCGAGCAGGGGTAAGACAACAACTCCGTGTGGGCTCAAATGCTCTGCATCGAAATCAACACAATGTGTCGGAATAGAAGCGGCTGTGAGCAAGTGGCGGCAAACCGTGGCTGTGCTACCGGCCTTCTGACAACAGGCTTTCCTACCGACGTACAGTCTTGCTATGTTTCGCACCGCTGACGTTCTGCAAACAGCAACCGTGCACTTTGCGACAAGCTTCGACGGGCTGCAGGAGAGTCTTCGGTGCTGCTACAGTTTGGAGTAGCTTCTGCGACTTGCTCCCCTCGCGATAACTGGAAGGCTGGTGGTGCTACCTCAGAAGACGTGATCACACGTGGATCCTTTGTTTCTCACTGTGCTTGACTTCGGCAACTCGCCAGTTATGCCAGATCGATTTTGTGCTGCACACTGTGCTTCCTGCATGACTTTGAATTCCAGAAAGTTTGTGCGGAGAACGACTCCGAAGCAGTGAAGCTGTATTGCGATGAAGCCTGTTTTATCCCTACACCCCCAAGATCAGTCTCCGACGAACACGAAGTCATCCGTTACAGCTTTAGGGCTTTAGGACGCTTTAGGGCTCAAATAAAGGTTTAAGGCTTAGGGCTCAGTTAGCAGACTGTACGCCTTAGAGCTTTTCTAGCGTCTCAAACTTGTAGTGACGTGGGCGTCTTTCGACGTCCTCCTTTGCTTCTGCCCAACCCTTGCTGCTTTCCGGTGGTAGTTCCTGTTACGCTGGTAGCCTGGTTGCTGTCGCTGCGGCCACGCATTTCTGCTACAAGAATGCGAGATCGGTTTCCGTTGCCGGAGAAATCCAACAAACCTGCAGAACATGTGCCATAGCATAGGTGCAGGTGCCAAGCATTTTGATGGGGTTTGTGTTGGGTCACAGATGTGATTTCGAGTTTACTATAGTTTACTTGATTGAAAGCGACGTGCATTCAATATTTGGACCGAGGAGGGCGGGCAGACAAATGCAACCAGAACCGTCTCATCATACCCAGAACGGGAGGTTCCATATCCAGCGTGCCGAGCATGTTCGCGAAAACGATCAGCCCTTCGAATACCTAAAAATTGGAGCAGCTGTCCCGTATGAACACGAAACACACCAGAACCTGGCTTTGGTCGCATGGCTTACCAGCGTTTTCGAGTGTCACAGAATCCAAGAACATGTTTTCTGAAGCACTCGCGAGCCCTTGAATGTGGCGTGCCTGCATCCGAGGTGTCTAGCAGAGTACTTCCGGACGAAGGACCAGGTGCACAGACACTCTACACCAGCGCAACGAAAAATGATAAACACCAAGTCAAGTCACTCGTCCTCGCCGCTGGCAGAAACGTGGACCTTCGTGCGGATGCGTCTGCGCCGTGATATATGCGGCAATCGTCTCGGAGTGCAGACCAGGGGTGACATATTGGACATGCCGACAAGCTTATTCAAGAATTCAACAGTTGGGATTGCACAGGTTCTGTGCTGAGATGTGCTGAGTAGATAATTCGGTGTCTCTTGGACTCTTGGTTTGATCCAAATGCATAGACGCGCTGACCAGTCCAAAAGCATCATCCTGAAGGCTTAAATGTGTCCCTTGATTCGGTGCGTTTTTGCTTGTGAAATCGCGGTTGCACGGCATCTCCACACCTTCAAGCTCCAGCATTCAAACAATCGCGCCGCGGGCGTGTCCAGTGAAAGGTGGCCATGCGCGGGAGCAGCTCAGCAGCTTCGGCCAGGAGCTAAGCGCCGTGGCGGGTGCCAGTGGCGGCCAGAAGCCCGGGCCGGTTCGAACGCAGACGGCGCTTGGTTCCATTTTTCAGGCCTGGCAACGGGAGAAGTCCTCGCCCAAAGGCCTGAGAGAATTGATCACTGATCCACAGTCGTACTCAGGTGGTCGTGCTAATGAAGAAGGGTTGGCGCTTTATGCCCAAGCATTCAGGTATCAGGTAGAACATCCTGTTGGCGAAGGACATTTCACCAAGGCGGGGAGAAGCGGTGAAGCTGTTGCCATCGAAAAATCTACAGAAGGCGTGCATCTTCTGCTTGTTGCACATGCAGGCTTTTCAGGCCCGGGATCTCAAAGAAGGTCGGCAGGTCTGCGTCTCACAGCATGTTGGTCGGGTGAGGGTCGGGGCAGCGGCGATTCAACTGCTACAACTACGGGCGTTTTGATGTTGTCCGGATGGAGTTGAGGTGTTGGTTTCGCACCTGCCGTTCAGCTGTACACATAAAACTGTCACAGGGCCGCCGCCTATACGCTCGAGCGCACACAGGTGAGTGGCGGAAACGGTGATAGGACACTATCTTCTTGAGTCGACATGTCAAATCGTGGGCATCATGTAGAACAGTAGAAGCCTGGTGAGATGTGTCGTTGCTGGAGCCGAGCGAGAAACGCAAGAAATGCATGCGTTGATTGCGTTTGAGCAGACAGGAGAATAGGACCAGGAAGTGACCCCGTTCCATTCTTCAGCAAGCTCGGATTTGGTATGTTGAATTTCAAGGAGGCAGTTGCTGTTCTGCTAATGCCTGACTATTTTGCTAAACAGTGGAATGATGGGGCCCTCGCGCTCTTGCTGACTCCGGTGCAGTCAGGTGTGTGTGAAACGCCACAGGAATCTTCCCATTGAGGCCGGCTGAGACTCTGGGGATGTCGGCATTTGTTGCACATTGCTCATTGCACTGATGGCTGCAGGCCTTGAGCGATTTGTATGTTGTTGGCCAGCGGTTGCAGGAAGTGGACCCAGGCAAGACAGCGTGCTTTAGCTGCCCCAGCAGCGACATGTAGCATGTAGCGACAGCAGGTGGGAGCTTCTTTCCAATCCTTGTTGATGCCTTCTATGACTCGGTGCAAGCCTTTGCTCCGGCGCTATCGCTGCGCACTGGCTTTCCCAATGTTCGTGCCAGGTCGGCTACACAGTCGAGAGCATGTTAGAGGCTTGTCCGGGAGCCACCTTGTCGACCTCAGAATTAGAGACCCAACAAAATTTGACTCGCCTTCAGGGTCGCAATTGTTTGGCGCTGTCTACCGAGCTGAGTTTCTTCCAAGACTTGGGGCGCTGGCCTCGATTGAGGGCTTAAGGACCCCTGCGACAAGAAGGTTCTTCCATAACTCTGCGTTCAGCCGACTACGCCAGCCAGGGATCAAGATGTCCGGCAGCCTTCGGATTCCGAATTAAAGTGGGCAGGCCTTGCGGGCTCCGGCAGTTGAGCATGCGACATGATGTGCAGAGACTGGAAGCCCTGCAAGTTCAGAAACCAGAACTCTGAAGCTGAAGATGCAGGGGCAGGCTTCAGTAGATAGATTATGGATTCAGGGGCGGAATCAGATAGGTCAGAGTTTGGAAGGGTTGGATGCCGTGATGTCATGTCTTATGACGCTGTCCAGTGCAAAGCACAAGGACCAGCAAAGCAGGAAAAGATATGTGAAGCATGCATGGACGGTGCTCCGTATGAAACAATTGAAGTGTACGAAGTGCTATGTTGCGATCTGTTCCCGTGAAGAAGGCAAAGTCGGGTTGGAGCATATAGATGGAAGGCTACATGTGACACATGCGTGACAAAAGTAGCGGCATTTTTGGGTCTAGTCTTGGTGCACGAGCAAGAGTCAGCTGCGGGTGAAAGCAAAGTCGGCAATAAGCTCTGCTAAGGGTGCGTGACCCTTCCAGCTCCTGAGGAAGCTGCGGCTCGTGGCTTTTGGAGCACTTTCAGGTGGAAGCTCTGGACTCCGGAGAGAATCTTCTTGATATCTTGTGAACGTGTGTGAGCAGGCTTAGTGATGCTGGACAAGGCGGGTGTCGTTCACAACGACATCAAGCCGGACAATCTTATCTGGACCGAGGTGCGACAGGGACATGAGCAGTAGCCGTGGCCTGCCGTGGCTGTCCGCTGTTCATGTCTGCGCATTCCACAGGCTCATGGCTCCGGTCCTCGTGCCACTCGGCGAGACAATCGACAAGCGATGACCAGCGTTTTGTTTCTTGCCAGACCCTGCGGATCGTTGTACGCTGTCTGCACAGCTTTGCGTTGTACCAGGCCTTTCACTTTTCTAGGGGTTGTTGGCACACATAACTCGGATTTGGATTTTCTCTCAAGTCTCGACCTGTCTCCGCGGCCCCACTACGACCTCCGCTGCAACTCTCATCAGGTCTGTATTACCCCCCAACGAGGTGCTGCTGCGTCTCTGTAGTCATGCTCTTGATTGCATTTGATTGCTCTTGTGTTGAGGCAACTCTTGGACCACCTAACGTCCGTAGTGCAGCGCAGCAGAGCCGATGCACCGTCCCGTCTCCGATCTCAAAGTATTTTCTCGAACCCACTGGTACATAGTTGGGTTCAACGTCGACATCCAGACGACAGATCCACCATTCCCCGCTTGCTAACACAACAAAGATAACGAAGTTGCACATGTGCGACCACCGCGGGGCACGGTTTTGCGGTGGTGCGCAGCCGGCGGCTTCGCAGCCTGCGGGTCTGCTGGTTCGACCAGGGGGCGGAAAAGTCACTTTCGTATTCTCTTTCGGGGTCGCTTTGGGCTTCAAGTCGTTTGATTAAGAATATGCACGAATCCTAGGCGCTAAGGTGGTTGCCAAACCCTGCAACCCCCTGCAAGTTGACAAGCCTAAACCCAAAACCTTAAAGCCTAAAGTCAACATTCCGACTCCTGACTTGGGCAGAAGGACAAGAGGGCCAAAAAAAAAGCGCCAAACAAAGAAAAGACGACCTGGGCTTTATGCACGGTCTGATTGAAAAACTAGACTGAAGACCCAAGTGACCCAGGGCCCGACCCAGGAAAAGGCCCACCACCTGACGTGCCGCATCTTCTCCATGCGTGTCAACAGCTCTTGGACTCGCATTCTTGAGATCCACTGCATGCTGCTGTGACACCCTCGTCAAACTGGCACCGCTCGGGACAAGGGTGCCGTTGTGCGAGAGGGGCGCATTGTAGACCCAATCATGTTGCATCGTAGACCCAATCATGTCATGTTGAGACATGATCTCGCACGGGCAATCGACATGTGTGTGCATGCCCGAGATTGCCCGAGTGCACTAAGTCACTGAGGTAAAGATTGTGGACTTCGGATGTGCTCGCCACGAGCTCAGGAGCCTGTCGGAAATTGGAGTGCTGCGTCGGGTTTAGACCTGGGCTACCCTTCAATGCCCCGTTTGAGGTCTTGACCATCGTCATGAAAGCGGCCGCAACTGGCACATCTGGCTACGTGAAACAAATGCAGCCTTTTCCAGTATTATTCAGTATTCCTTTTTGCACTGCCAGGGCTCTTGCCGAAGGTGGCGCTGGTCATTTGGGTTCGTGCCTGAAGCGAAGTCGATGCTGCTCTCGAGCAGAGCTTGGCTGTGATGAAATGTCAGGCAAGTGGGCTCCTGAGATGACCCTCCGCCTCGCCATTGGTCACCGCGCAGATGTCTGGGGCACTGCTGCAAGAGACCCGGACGAGGAAGCGTGGAATGCTCGAGAGTTGCAGAGTGGTCAGAGTCGGAGGTATCTCTGTGTGAACTGCTTTGTGGGCGCACGGTCTGGCGATCGGAGATGGACACAGCAGAGGCCACTCGCAAGCCGTGTGCAGGTCCTAGCTTTGCCATGCTCTGCCATGCCGTGAGGTTGTGATGACACAAGCGCTTGGTTTGTGCAACCTACGTGACGGCGTGCCGCCGCTCCGTCCTCATGAGGATTTGTCGTCGTAGTGACAATTGATTGCTATGCTGGTTCTGAAGAAGGTCGCTTCTCCGGCGGAGTCCTCTGGACGTTCGCCAGCTCTACACCCCAGCTTCCCGGACGCATTCCGTACCAAGCATGTGCGTAGAGGGAGTGTTGGGATTTGCAAAAACCGGCATTTTCGGGTAACTTGCAAGGCACCGCGGCACTGGCCACTACGGCGAAATGCTTCTGGCCAGATGGAGACGCTCAGGCTTCCAAGACTTGATTCCTGCATATTACTGCGATGTGGTGCTCTGCGGGTTTGCTATTTTTTCCGTCCCGGAACGCAAAGTGTTATTCTGACTGTTCCTGACAGGTTTGAGTCTCACGCACGATTGGTGGTTGAGGTGAAGAATATGAGAACTATGAGTACCAGCCCCCCCCCCGTGGAAGTTTCATTCTGCATGCATCATCAGATACAGCATCATGGGTTCAGCACATGAGGCTGTCTCAAACAAGCGGCAACATCAAAATGCAGTAGTGGTCATAGTGGTCATCGTGGTGGTAGTGAGCAGTAGCAGTAGCAGTGAAAGTAGTAGAGGAAGAACAAGAGGAGGAGGAGCAGTAGCAGTAGCAGTAGCAGTAGCAGTAGCAGTAGCAGTAGGAGTAGGAGTAGGAGTAGGAGTAGGAGTAGTAGTAGTAGTAGTAGTAGCACTAGCAGTAGTAGCAGTAGAAGTAGTAGTAGAATTGGTGGCAGTGGTACTGTTGCTAGTCGTGGTAGCGGTCGTGGTCGTGGTTGTGGTCGTCGTCGTAGTAGCAGCAGAAGCAGTACGTGGTAACAAGAAAACATAGTAGTAGTAGTCGTCGTTGTCGTTGTCGTTTCGGTGGTGGTGGTGGTGGTGGTGGTAGTGGTAGTGGTAGTGGTAGTAGTGGAGGTAGCAGCAGCGGCAGCGTTAGCAGTAGCGTCAGCAGAAGCGTTAGCTCTACTCGCCAATCTCGAAACGCAAGCAGTAGCAAGCAGTAGCAGCAGTAGCAGCAGTAGCAGTAGCAGCAGTAGCAGCAGTAGCAGTAGCAGCGGTAGCAATAGCACTAGCAGCAGTAGCAGTAGCAGTCGCAGTGGCAGTGGCAGTGGCAGTAGCAGTAGCAGTAGCAGTAGCAGTAGCAGTAGCAGTAGGAGTAGGAGTAGGAGTAGGAGTAGGAGTAGGAGTAGGAGTAGTAGTAGTAGTAGTAGTAGTAGTAGTAGTAGTAGTAGTAGTAGTAGTAGTAGTAGTAGTAGTAGTAGTAGTAGTAGTGGTAGTGGTAGTGTAGTGGTAGTGGTAGTGGTAGTGGTAGTGGTAGTGGTAGTGGTGGTAGTAGTAGTAGTAGTGGTAGTAGTAGTAGTAGTAGTAGTAGTAGTAGTCATTCAACACGCAGCGGAATCCGGTCCACCTAGCGAGCTGCACAGCTTGGCTGGAGTTTCAAGGGACTCGATGTTGTGCACAAGACCCGCAATATCTGCAAGATACCCAAGCACATATGGCTTGGGTCAAACTGTCTAACAGATTGTGACATCCTCAGCATCATGACTTCGCACGTGGGCGGTCTCTCTAAGTGCGACAATGCTGAGCTGATGCGCGCCATCAGAAGGTCCAGCAGGTTGCGGGGTACTGCACGATATGGTAGCGAGCGCGGTCGGCTCCAGAGCAATCCCGATTCAGCAAGGTTCTGATTTCATACCTGTACTGTATACAAGAGCCCAGTGGATTGACTCCCGGCAGCCAAACGGTGGCCCCAATCACAAGAGATGGCCGAACGGACGGCCAGGCAGCATCGTGACACCCCTGAATACGAACACATGGGGTGTCAATGCATAGGTAAACAGTTTCGGCTATGCCATTCAATATCGGCCTCGCGATGCAGCGATCCCAAGCATCCACATGTTCCTAAAGAGACAGCTGATCACACTGGATACAGAGCGGAATAAGCATGATGTTGGAGCAGTGCGAGGCCTTCAACGCAGGATCAACTGTCTGTAGATACATGCCCCATTCACCTGCATCATCGGGTCTCACAAGCTGGGATAGCATGAGCCGGCGCAGTGTGGCAGGAGGGGCAGCCTGTACATATCGCCACTGAACTGCGACCGACATCCAGAAGAGGTCACCTCGCAAGTACACAGCAGCGGCAGGATTCTTTATGATGCGTTTCCACAAGTGCTTGAGTAGGCCTGGTGTACATCTGTGCCGAGCAGGGTCCATCCACATGGGCCAAAGGAGGCATTGCAGTGCCTGCGAGAGGCATCGATAGGCCGGCGGGCCCATCGGCAACGCGCCAACTTGCAAGGTCAACGGATGGATAATGACGGATTTTCGGCCTGTGCGGGGAATCCGAAGCATCCATGGCACAGGTGGAGGCTACCAACGTAGGGATCGGGCCTGCTGCGACAGGCCCCCCTCTCCCGCCTGAGACGACAGCCAAGGGTATGAAAGGGGGCACAGCCGATCCAGGACTTGACAATCTCCCAGGCACGGACTCCTTTCCCAGGAACGCTGAGCTCCAGAGCAAGTTGCACCCACGACGTCGGAGGCGCTTTGGATAGTCCCTTCAACGACTGAAAGCGGAAGACCGTTTCCTGGTCGATCAGCTTCCGAAGTTCTATCTTCTCCGCGACAAGGGCTTCTGCGTTTGAGGGTTCCACACCAAGGTCTTCCACAGGCCCTCGGCAGTGATCCATCCCATATCCTTCGCGGCCTGAAGCGCATCGTCGCTGTTCTGACAGTTCCCCAGCCGTTGTGCCAACTCGATGAGCGGTGCTTTGAGAAGGACAATCCGGATGGATTCCCCCGTCTTCTCCGGCGTCTCGCGTTGGACCTGGTGCCATTGGTCGGACGTGTTGAAGAGGATCGGCAGAAGTCTTTGAGGTCCTGGCTTGACGAAGAAGTACACCGTACTGTCTTGCTTCAAGGAGTTGATGGCATACTCGTGTCGGATCAGCAGCTGGGACATCCGGTACACAAGGTTCGACACGTCCTGTCCCCGCGGTTGGTGCCAAGACTTGTTCCAATCCTGAGACCCCCAGTCCGAGCTCCAGGTCCAGGCGACGACTCTGTTGTCCTCGCCCGCCTTTGCCCTTCCCGTTGGGATGTCCCTTCCTCTTGTCCACCCCTCGCAGAGAGGCTTGGGACGAAGTTGCCGCCTGAAGTTCCGGCAGCGGCTCCAATCTGGCCTTGTTGAGATCTGGGGTGCCGTCGTCCCGCTGCCGTTTTGGAGCCAGGGCCTGTAGGGAAGGACAAACCCCTCCGAAAAAGAGTTTCTTCTGGGATGACATGCCCAGGTCTTCCTCCATGCGTTCGCTCATACTGCAGTCCTAGAAAGCAGCTCACGTGAAGAACACTGCAAGTGCGCCAGTGCGTGTGACGGTTGACTTGAGTAAGGTCACAGTACCAGCAGGGGAATACCATGGTGCGACGAAAAGGAGTAAGGTGGCTTACAACCGTGGAGAACGTTTCTACCCAGTCGGCATGCTGCTGTGTCATGTGACGCTTGATGGCAGCAGTGTCCATGCACCATTGTCGATGGGACAATGATGCAGCAGCTCCGTCTGCAGTTCAAGACCTCCTGAATGTCTGGCCTAAGGGCAAGCGGGAGCGGCTGAGACACAGCCGCGACAGCAGTGCCAGTATCAAGATGTGGAGGGCACAGTACCCTGAGTACCAGGCTGACAGGGAGGGCCGGTGTCAGGCCGTAAATCCACTTTAGGGGGCGGAGAGACCTGCTACAGTAGTAGCATCACTGGCCGGCGGTTGCAGACTCAGGCAAGGGCTTGTGCCCGGTGTGGACGGAACATAGTAGGAGTAGTAGTAGTAGTAGTAGTCGTCGTAGTAGTAGTCGTCGTCGTAGTAGTAGTAGTCGTCGTAGTAGTCGTATTACTGGTAGCACTGGACGACAACCCATTTGGACTTGCATCGACCATCCTGAACCGATTTCACAGACTGGCCGTGTGTTTGTTTTTCCTCGCCCATCGCTTTTCATGAGCGCACCTGCCCGGAATAGCCTTCTCAGGCCGAAGCGCTGGGGGCTTGAGCAAGTTCTCGGCCAAGGATGGCAGAGTTCGGAGAAGGTGGGAGGTGGCCATTTGCTCATCTGCTATCACAATCACAAGCTTGAGAGAAGGCCTTGGATGGCACTGCCTGTTCGTTTTCCACAAGATTTCGTTGTGTTTTTTCCGTGCAGCTGGAGCTGGGACAGCTGCTCATCGCTGCCCTCGTGCTGGCTGGGACTTCAGTGCGTATTATAGTCAGATTCACCGAAGCATTGCCCACCTTGTACCTATGCTTAGCCTCTATGCTCACATCCTCCTCTGCTGCTGATGTACGTAAATAGTCGCTGATCGTGAAGGCGGATCCTCAAAGCCCAAGATGGTGTAGTTTGTGATGTTTTTGTACAGATAGTTGGCAATACTGCGTGGATGGGTCTCACCAAGACCAAGCTCTCTTCTCAATCAACTTTCGTCCTTGCTGTCGATAAGGATCCAGCATTTCGCCCTTCAGCGACAGAGCTGCTTCAGCACGAGCCCCGGTGAATAGAGAAAACATCTTGAATGTGCCTCTGCGTGTGCAGTGATGATGCCTGGGCCTCGCATCGACACATGAGGTGCTGCAGCTTTCTGAACCCGAAGATTCACGAGGCCAAGCATTTCAGCTTCAACTCTTCGTGTTCCAAGTCAGTGCAATGTCAGGGAAGCTCTGAAAGAGCATTCTGACGGGGGCCTGCTCTGCCATCGGGCACACTGCAAACCGCTTACCGATACACTACTTGTACGTACAGAGCCAGGCTAGGGTGGCTAGGACATGGTGGAGATGCCACAGGTCGACATCAGGGCTGCTAGATTGCTAGATTGCCGAGAGTGCGAGGTTTTTTGCCGTGAGCAGAGCAGGCTAGCTAGCTTCCAACAATAAGCATGCGCCAACAGGTTGGTGCGCTTGAGCCACCATCGTCAAGTTTCTGCAAACGTAGAGGTAAACCTTTCTAGCCGTCCTTCTGCTCTGGCAGCAATGTTACCATTCCCCGCCTCCCTGCATTTCTTCTCCGACAGCGGAATAAATCCCCGCAGCAGCCGTGCGTCGGTCTCTCTGCATGAGTGCCTCAGCAGCGGTTCCCGACATACGCCCCTCGCCACTTATGGGCCTGGAAGGGGAGTGGCGCAGTTCGACACAAGTGTAATCGCACCGATGAAGCGGGTATCTTCCTCAAACCACGCAAACCCGCCAAGGCAACGAGGGTTTGCAATAGATAGATAGATGGCTTAACTATTGTGTGTGGGTCATGGGAACGTTAGGGAATGGAAGGAAAAGCCACTGTCAGTTTGATCATTAGTCCAACACTGCAGGAGGCCGCGTGCCCAGAGCGATAGTTGCCGTAGCATTCGTTTATGTTTGTGTGGCAACGAAGAGAATCCTGCAAACTCTTGGCGCAGGGATCTCATTGCAGTAGTTCAGCTCCATTAGCTCGAATTGCAGGAAGCTTGGGCTTTGCTCTCAATCCGAGAAGTCTGAGGCCGAGACATCCAATCGACTGCACATGCATCCTGCATCCCCACATGCTCTGTTTCACGCACATCACACATAGCTGGCTCCACAAGCGGGACGCTGTGGCTCTGGGAAGATACGCACCGGCTGATGGATGCAGCATCCAGCCAAGCATCCGCCTCCAATGCCGAGTCATCAGCCCTGAATAGGCCAGACCAATTCTGCAGTTCAAGCGTGTCCTCAAAGCATGCATGTGCTCTTGGTTGGAGGTTCAGAAACATGAGCCACCGACCAATTCGATCTGCATCTGATGCGAGTAAAATTTATTGTTGGTCCCTTGCAGTTTCGGCTCATGTTCTCGCACGTGCGAAACTGCAGGATTTGTGCAACAAATTTGCGGCTCAAGGGTGACGGCCCCATCCCCAGGCTGCAAGCCGAGCGCCGTCCCTGTCGGTTTGAAAACGAAGAGCCCGCCTGTGGGACGGGTTCTCAGCGACTCGAGTTGCGGTCCGAGTTTTGCCTTATAGTCATGCATAGAAAGGGAAGTGTGCATGACCTGCAACAGATGAGAACCACGGCAAACGGACTTCCAAAGACTTCCTGCGAAAAATTCAAAAAGGGCACGTGTGGAGGTTGCCCCTCATTCTCATGCTGGACATGACAAGCGCATATGGTTGGTTTTGACCCCTTTGGGGCAAGAGTCCTTCAGACATCCAAGAGCTGCAGCAGTGCCTTCAGCCTTGTTGGAGGGAGTTCATGTGGTGCAACAATGTGCAACATCGCACTAAGGCTTTGGCAGCATTGGGAGGCGTCAGGTCGAATGCAAGGCAGCCATCCCTTGGCATGCATCCGGAAGTAGGCGCTGTGCCTACCCATGCGCAGTCAGGCGAAAAGGCTCACCGTGCCACACCATGAGACTCTCTGGCCTGCCAGAGCCTCGGTTTTTGCGCCAGTCACGAGAGCTCTTCGTGAGTAATTAGGAGCTTGCAGAGTTTAGTCTTTTCAATTGCCGTGGTGGCTCATGGTTCGAAATCTGGGTGGGTCGCTCTTCCCGACTCGGGCAGCACCCCCAACCCTCCGGGTATCTCAGCATACAGCAGCAGCCTGACTTGAGCGGATGAGAATTTGAACGCACGACATTTTCAAATCTTACGTTGCCGGTTGCATCGCCGGCATCGGCGGGGAAGCCAGGTAAGCACGAGCGCATATGTTGTCTGCTTTGAGCGCTCGTGCGTCTCATGCCAAAGTCCCGTCAGCCATCCTGGCCTCCCTCCAACAGTGTACGGCGCATGCCGTCTTCAAGGCTTCTTCTTTTATCTTCGCCGGCGATCGACGCTTTGGACAGCCTTGCCCTGAGGTTAGTTGAATGCAGTTGTGCGCAAGTAGCAGTACTTCAGCTATCCAAGACGTCGAACCTTGTTGAGACTGGTGCATCAGAGCTACTGCCTGATGATATCTACATCAGTACACGTGCCAGTTTTTACTGCAGACCGTGTTAGAGGCTCCCAGCGGGCCGAGCTGGCAGCGAGCCTGCCATGCAATCGCTTCGCGGGGTCCACAGCCCCTCTAGCCCACGTCATTGCATGCCCGAGCCTGCAAGCTTGCGGCCTCGAGGTGTCTGCTGAGTTGACATTCATCCAGCAGCCGTCCGGGGCCAGGTCTCAGAGTCTCGTAAAGCCGAGCTTGGGCAAGCGTTTCTGGGACAGAATGTGCCCAGGCGAAGCGCTGATGATGTCAGAGCACTGAAGGCTGCTGATCGTCCGGTCATTTGTACTCGTTACAAGTACCGTGTTTGAAGCAGCGGCCAGAGGTGCTGGGCAGTGGGTTGAGGCGAATACTAGCCGACTCTATAAAAAAAACTGACAGGATGCGGTAGCTGAAGCATCTCAAGACCTGAAACCACAGCAAGGTTGGTTTTCCAGTCGCGTAAGCGATCAAGGTCAAGCGACTCCGGGCTTGATTTCTACAAACCTCCTCCCCTTCGAATTTGGAAGTGAGGGCTGGTAGTTTGTGCGGCAACTCTCTCAGAAAGACTGTTGGCTCGAACTGTGAAACTCAATTCTTGAGCAACCGTGCTACTGGGGTCAAGTCCTCCAACGGCCACTCCAGCCCAAGGGCCGGATCCAAACGAATCCCGGCCTCCAATGCAGAACCAAAATTGCAGCAGGAGAAAGTACATGAAGCATCATGAAGCATCATGAAGCCATCACCCAAGCAAAATTGCGTGAAGGTGCAGCACCAACTTTGCATGAGGGTCTAGGGCATTCTAGTCATCGGGAATTTCAGCACACAACAGCTTGTTGCAGCTTCTAGCAAGAAATCTGGCAATGTCCGAGTTGCCCAGCCACATGGGGTGGTCATGGGAAGACGCCTAGAAACGCTCAAACTGCTCAAGAGGGTAAGGCGGATTCGGTCGGCATCGGCAAGTGTCTGGCATGGGTTGGGGGAATGTTCCGACTCAACTTAGATGTCTTTGAAGCCTCTGCCTCTTCAGCAGCTAGTTGGCATTAGCTGTTGCGATCCATTAGAATCAGAAGCGTTTAACCTGCACAGGGCGTACCGGCACCCTTTTTCAGCAGTCCGCCGGAAACTCTGTGAGTAGCAATAGCAGATTTTTCTCTCAATATGTTCGCCGATGGCTCGGCCCACGGTCTTGAAAGATCTGCAAGAATTGAAAATTGAGAAGGTGCAGCCGTCGACGGCTTCTTCCCTCGAGTCGTACAGGCTATGCCGCTTGTAGCTGTGGATGGCTGCTCTGTGACTCCGTGAGGCTACCAGATGCCACCACTTCCACAGCTCCCTCGCTGCAAGCCGAAGCCTTTGGCCTCTGCTGGACCGACGTGATTTCCATCACGTGCGTCAACTCCGGCAGGTGCCATCTGCCCCTGCCTCTGCCCTCCCGACGTCGGACAGGTCAGCCCCGATTGCCTACAGTGGTAGCTCAGGGATGCTTGGGCTGGGATGCTGAGATCTCCGATGGACGCAGTGTGCTTCTCTGCCAGGCAAGCTTCTCCTGCAGTCCAGGCCCAGGCCACGTCCCCTCGCATTTGCTGCCCAATTCACAACTATACCACTGGCACTGAGCATGGATAGAGTTTTGGGAATGAATGGAAGGTGAAGATACAGTGAAACATCCGAATTTCAATGCATGATTGTCTCGATATTTCAGGAAGTCTGACGAAATGCCTTGTGTGACCATGAAGCCGTTAACGATTCAGGTAGCCCGTTTTTCCAAAGTCAGCACAATTCTGTTTTGCCGAATTTTCGACAGATGCCGTCTGCGTCGGCTTTGCCAACCTTGCAAACATCTAACAGGCCGGCATAGATTGGCTTCTGTGCGACGATTTTGCAGCTGCCCGCTTTTGTAGAGCACGTGGCAGGCCAGATTCTACTGCGGTTCAGGCACAGCCCGCCTGCTTCTGCGCAATTGGCAGTTTCTGACGGAGTGTGGATGGTAGTTGTTGGTATGATTTGTCACCGATATGTTTGCTCGTCCATCCTGCATGCCTGTTAGGTATCACCAAGTTTGTTTCACTTCGCAGCTTGACTGCTCGGGCTTGCTTCGTGCAAAGTCCCAGCAAAAGTCCGTCTGTGTAGGGACCTGACTCTTTGGCTGTGCAGTTAACCCTAGAGGCTTCAATTCCGAAAAGCTCTAGCATTGCTTTGCTTGCGCTTGCCTCGCTTGCCGTGTTACGATACTCAGTTATTTGCCCCTTTCTGTTTTACCGAGAGTTGAGTGGAATCCTCCGCTTTTCGCAGGTTGTCAGCCACAGGACCTCTGCTTCAGATTGTGTATTGTTGCACTGCTCTTTGCCGCTTGTGCACTTGCCTATCCAAGCTTAACTAGTGAAGCCAGTCGTGCGGGATGACGTCGAGACCGAGAATGGTGCCCCCGCAGCCCGCCGCGGCTCGCCTGCCTTGCCTGCTTCGAGCACGGCCGCATGCTTCGCCTTGCCGCATGTGCGGCCTTTGTTATGCGCGCACGCCCAATGCCTGCAATGCCTGGCTCGATGCACGCCAGCCAGCTGCCTGCTCCTGCTTGCTTCGCGCCGTTGATTTTCCACGACCGATGCTTTCTCTTCCTGCCCTCTTTCCCTTCGCGCGAATCCAGCGGGCGCCCGGTCTCTCTTTGAGTCCGGGCAGGATGACCGGGGCCCTACGATTATGCATCCTTTCACCCTCCGCATGTGGACCTCTGTCCCGCGCCATTCCAGGATGAAATTGAAACGCTATCCAGCCAGGACTTAAGTACGGCAAGTGGTAAGTAATACTACGCAATACGCATACACGTACACATTTACACACAAGCACATACCTATATATCTACCTATCCATATACATATGCATATACGCATGCATAGACATAGACGTGTACCTACATGCACACGTATACCTTAGCCTATACCTATACTTAAACTCATACCTATATACCTATTATAAATATGCATTGACATCTGCATGTACAGGCAGGGGCAAATCAGACAGAGCATCTCATCCGGGCCGGGCGAGAATCTGCTCACTGGGCACAAAAAATGCAGCGACACCGACCGCTGCATGCCATCGCTTTGACAAATGCAAAACCCATAATTACAAATCCTGAGCCAGACCTATGCGCGAAAGTTCTTGGAGATGTGGGAGGTGCCATCGACGCATGACAGTACAAACTTTAATGGTTACTTGACGCTGCTTCCCGTGACTGTCATTCGCAAAGTCTGCCGCGACCTGTTTGTGGAGTCCCTTGACAAGAACACTTCGGAGTTTGTGGTAATGTGCCCGCGACTGTACTACAGTCTAGCTTCGAGTACCTTCCAGTTTCCAGCGGTGGTGCCGTACGGGGGAGTTGGCTACAAAACAACTTCAGACTTGCGAGTTTTCCGTGATGGAACAGTGTGCATTGTCAAAACGGGTACTCTTGTACACTTGCTGCGAGTTGATGGTGATTGTGCAGTCTTTGATGGGTTCACATGTACAACACAGCAGCTTATGGGCTCCCTGACTCGCGAGGAAGGCGAACACTTTGCGTTCAATGCGCTGGATCGTGTGTGGTTAGACATTGCAACAATCTCTGTTCCAAACTTGCGCGAAGAACTGCAAACACATTTAAACCAGCAGTTCGACAGACTCTGGAGAACCATGCTGGCAAGACGTGAACCATCATGGGGTCGTGTACGCGTGGTCCCCCAAAATCAAGAAGGTCTTGGCTGGCAGACCTTTGGGAGATCAATCTTGTAACCCTACTGCGATCATGTGCCGTATTTTGGCTAGATTCCTGGACCTTTGTTTGGCTAGCCTCCCATGCCATCTGCACTTTGATCGCTCTACACACAGTGCCATGATTGAAACTTTCAAGGACATCATCGAGAATCCATTGGGGACTGAGGTACCGCTCGTATGCCTTCAGAATTATGGTATCTTGATTGTTTCGAAAGACGTCGACAACGGCTTCATGCGAATCCGTCATCCCGAAGCCCTTTCAGCATGGCATTTCGTCATGGGTTTCTTACGCGAAATGGGCTTTCCAAAGGCATGGGTTACCCCTTGTGTCACTTTGTGGATTCTTGGACCCAACAAGTTCGCCTCGTGGTCCAAACAGTCAGGCAAATCGTGGGTGGTGGTATCCATTGAAGAGGTTGCTCCTATGTTGATCTCGTTTTTTGACAACATGCAGTTTGTCTTTGGTCAAGCTAAAGGTTGGCAGCAAGCAGGCGTTATGATGGGAATCGGAGCGGGAGGATCTATCTTTCGGATGGTTCTGGTGGCCCATGAGATCAAGATGATGCTCTCATCTTACCGGTCACAGCTCTTACAACGGTTCCCGGACATCGCATTCCGTGTTGCCAGATTCGTTGATGATGTGGCCGTGCGGTTTTCCTCTCACCAAAGGTGAAGTGTGGGCACGTGCTGTTTCCGATTTCATCCTCAACTTCACATACCCGAACCATTTGAAGCTGAAAGACGACAGTGTCAACCCTACAGTGGGAAGGGACGTCCATGTACGTGAGGGGCAGCTACACTGGCATGCGCACAACAAAACTCTGGGAGAGACGCTGCTCTATGGCAAAAGATGCCGACAGGCTGTGGTCCCATGGTGCTCCTACGAGCCCCCGCAGGTGTTTGAGGCTATTGCTAAGGGAGGCTTTGCACGCTGTCGCCACCTTGCGAGCGACAAGCGGGGTATGATGCACTCGCTCAGTGTGTTTTGCAAACTGCTGGAGGTACAGGGGGGCTACCCCAAAGCATGGATAAACAAGCAGCTGAAGCATTGGTGCGACAAACTTTGGCACCCAATGCCATCTACACGAACAGATTCTACTGATGACACAGCCGTTGGAGGATGCAGTGTTGAACAGAAGTTTCAACTCTCCTTCGATATGTGTTCCCATTGGTCATTTGTGCCTGCGACAGTTGTGACGGCACGCAGTATGGGATGTGCTTTAAAAGGGTTTGTTCATGCTGCTTTTCAAGTTGTGATGGTTGCACGTTCTGGTATGTTACATGTCGCTGTAGTTTGCCTGCTCCATGCTGCAATGCTGCATGTGTCCTTTCTTGCATTGCACAGTTTCGAAATGACGTTGTGCAACTTTTCAGGTTGCTGCGGATTCAAGAAACACGGTGACTGCATGAGCTATCTTCTTGTGCTGGTGTGTCGGGCCAGTGCGGAGCCTCACCACAGCTAAATAGACCGAAGACGGGGCGAGACGGTGTGTGCATGTGTGTGTGATGCTAATGAAGGCAATGTCAGGCGCTTAGACACAGTGATGCGCGAAAACACATGCAGGATCCCACTGTCGGAAGCTCGGTGTAAACAGCCTGAAAATACATTTCGTACTGATGTATCATCCCTTCCCTCTGCTTCTCGTTTCTTATGTACCGTTCCAACGTGGCTTCGCCCTCCGATGAGATCTGTGTCCGGGCGGACACCACACGCACAAGGCGTGTGGTGGGCCAAACAAAACATTCATGTGATATGGTTAGGTTTTTCCCTCCCCCCCGCCCACCCTTCTCTTCCTTCCTCATGTTCTCGACTGGAAATCGCCCACGGGCTCAAATGCATCCGCTCATCGAGCATCTGATCTCGGCCATCGGCCAACCCACACACATACAGCGAGATGCCGCATTCGCAGCCTGTCCGCTTCGAGTGCGAAATCAACAGCACTCCGGGAAGTGGACAACGGCAGATGGATCCGCTGGGCAGGCCCTTCTGACTCAAAGAAGTTCCGCTAGTCATATCTCGGGTGTATGTTCGGGTTCAAGGGTCCTGGTGTTGGGGTAAGGTCAAAGACATAGGAGCAAGGAGTTACAGAGTGATGTTCTGTCGGCTTCAATTTTAGCCCTGATCCCCGCGGGTCGCCAGTTAATTCCCAAACAGTGAGTCTGGCAATCACACAAAAAGCTAGACCAGGAACGTTGGTCTTGAAGGGACGCAGATGCAAGGAATGGGCGACAACGCCTTCGCAACCAAGTCTATGCGCGGCATGCCACCCCGGTCTCTGAACGAAGTTGGGTCCCATGCAATTGCAGATCCGTCGTGGCTGCATTCTCGCGGCTGACGGCGGCCAAGCCTTCAAGGCTGTGGTGGTTGCCTTGCAGAAGCCATTGTTGCTTGGGGTGAGGCATGGACAGAAGCTGTTCACGCCCACAGCCATCTTGCCGGGCTTTACTTTGGACAAAGCAGTGTCAGTTGTGCCAAGATTCATTCACCGTGGTGGCACGTTCAAGTGGGCTACACAACATGTTCATGTGCGTCATGTTCTTTTTCAGGCTGCCTTGAAGCATTCGCTGCAAGTTGTTCCGGCAGTCACTGACCATGGCGGGCCAAGCCTCGGGACGCTGTCGAAAAAATCGCGAAGAAGTCCGGGCGAGACTACATCATGGCTGCTGGCGACAACTGCGCGGAAGGCTTGCTTGGTGACAGTACGACAACGCTGACTACCGGGGTTTTTCGAGCACAACCGCACACAAGCCGACAAAGTGGCAGCTTCATGTGCATGTGCAGACTTTTTCCACTTTCGCATTTTCTTTTGTTGTTGCTTCCAAGAGATCTTGTGGCATTCGCACGCAGAGAGACAAGCTTTCCTCCCTTCGTACTCTCAGTGCAGCCGCTCTGCTGCGACAGCCGGGTTTGCGAAGAGTGCTGCAGGCTGCAGGCACCTCTTGCCCAGAAACGTGCCAGTCTTCGGCTTGAGGTTTAATTACGTAAGACTAAGATATAAAACTTGAGGTTTGGCTTCCACGGCGTTAAAATCCTTGCGCTTTCTGGATTGCAGTTTTTGGGTCTTGGGTTTTCACGCGTTTAAAGCCTGCCCGACATCGCATCAATTGCGGCAGGCACACGCAAGTTATCGCCGCTCGCTGGAATCTGGAGTGTTGAAGCTTTCACCCACACAAGCTTATGCGGTAAAAGTCAAAGCATTTCCTGCCTCGGCCTGGCAGAAGATCAGGTCGAGACGTAGCAAGGGGCGGCTTTTGCGCGGAAGCGGCCATCCGGCACAATCTCCCATCAAAACCCTGCCGTTTAAGGGAGAAATCTACCAACACGCAAAAGAAGATCCCATTCGCAGCTCCAACTCGGCAGTTCGCGCAAAGGCTTGGCTGTGACAAGGTTGGGAGGGCCCGTCCCAGGTACCGCGCCCACCACCCCCAAAAGAGTCAGCTGTGGACGCAGCTAGAGCGGTGTGGGCAAACCAATGCCTTCGGCCGAATCTTTACAAGGAGTGGTTCCAGCAGAATGGTGCGAAGACCAAGAATGGTGCGGCTCGCGACGTGAAGGTTGAAGAGTCATTTTCAAACTGGTCGGCGGCTTCAAGGAGAAACTCCCTGATTCGAGGCCGTCGACACGATATTTTCGAATCTTTGCCCGAGGAGCCTTCGATTGTTCCGGATGCTTTGGAACTGGTCAGGTGCGAAAGTCGGGGACGAGGCGAACGGATATTTGATGGATCCATTGTGCATGCCACGGCCCAGCGAAGCAGGGCATGGACTTCGCCCGATGGAGCCCGCTCGCCCACCAGCGGCACGGAAACAGAGACCTGCTCCCTCTCGAGACTGTCATGAGGACGACGACGAACAGGAGTTTCGCCCTAGAAACATGCACGACGGTGGAAAGGCGAAAGGAGGGAAAGGTAAATTCGATAAAGGCAAAGAAAAGGCAAAAGGAAAGGGCGATAAAGGAAAGGGATAGCCCAAACACTGCCCAAACGATCAGAATCGGATCGTACGCGCAGCCCCGTGCAAAGGTCGTTCCGACCGATCTTTGCCGCAGTGACACGTGGTGTCATCATTATCTGATCCGGTTGGGTCTATACAAGACCAGTTTGACAAAACTTTACAGTCGATGGTTCTGCAGACGTTGATGGTGAAGCATCGTGCCGGTACGACTAATTATCCACTGCTTCCTCAGCATCCCTTTGCCAAATGTCATTGCCGAAGCTCGGAAGACCCACAGGGGTGCTATGGCTAGCCATGGAATTTTTCTTTGTGTATCTTTCTTTTCACAAACACTCGATGCTGCCGAGCTGTTGTTCTGAGCGCATTGATCTATTTCTCACAACCCGCGATCAATTTGGGTTCGTCCGTCGTGCCTACGATTACTGGCACCTCGCTTTGAGCCTACGATCAATGGCTGCGACTGTACAGTAAAACATAGGCATGATCAAGATGCAGGAATCGAACCACATTTCTTGTCTCTTGGCTTCAAGCTTTTGTTGGCTTGTAAATGATGTGGGTCGATGCACATCAATCGATCAGATGACACTCCTCAACTCCGCTCTAACTCACGCGTGAGCTTCGAGGGGGGTTGTGATTTGTCACCGACATGTTTGCTCGTGTATCCTGCATGCTTGTTACTGGTGGGTATCATGCCAACTTCGTCTCACCTCGCAGCTTGACTGCTCAAAACGTGCTTCGTGCAAAATCCCAGCAAAAGTCGACCCGTGCCTACTGCGGTAAAGGACTTGACTTGTAGCTGACAGGCTTCAACTCCGATCGTGCCTCCAGCTTTACTTTCGCTTGGCTTTGCTTGCCGTGTTACCATACTCTGTTGGTTGCAATGTCGACGTTTTTGCAAACCTGCACTTTCTAATAAGGGTGTAGCTTCATTAGCGTGTTTCCTGTTCGTGGTGTCGGATTGACGGCAGAAGCTCGTGCGATCGTCCGTTGAAATTGGACACCGTGACCATTTCCGTAACGAGTGCAAAACATATATTTGGGCAGAACTTTCAGCAGGTGCCGTCTGCCTCTGGTGTGCCTCCCCGGTCGCCGGTGCTAGATAGGCCGGCGCCACATTGCATTGAGTTTCGCAGTGCTTAGGGTTAGGGATGTTGGGGTTTATGCATTCATTGATGCGCAACGTCTGCTGAGAATTGAGGCAAGCTTCTCCTGGCGCGGAGGCCGAGTCCGATATGTTTTGCGCTCTGTTGTACGCTGGTGACTGGTGAGGAGTTTTATCGAACTGGGGGAAGCAGCAGATGCTTTCGAAGTTTTTGCGCTTTTCAGCCACGGCATGGCATGGCATGGCAACCAAATCTTTGCAGCCCATGAACAGTTTTTGTTTAGCAGGTGCCGTCCGCCACTGCCTCTTCCCTGCCGCCGCCGGACAGGCCAGCCCAAATTAACTGTGTCGCGGTGAGCTACTTTTAACGCTACGCCGCCCGCCTCGGCTTGCCGGAGACCAGCAGTGTGACAAAACTTGTTGGTTTGTTTCTGCAATGTGAAAGAGCAGAGCGGAGGTCAAAGGACGGAGGAGATAGGGGGGCGGCAAACGGGTCGGGGGCAGGGTAGGGGGGAAGGGGGGGCAAACGGAGTAGGGGAGGGAGGGCCGAAAAATCAGGTGAAATGAAGGGGGGCCTGGCCAGGCGTGGGAAATGAACGCAAAAAGCGGGTGGGACTGCAGAGTTGAGCTAACCCCCAAGATGCCTGGGCCTGTGGCCTCGGCGGATTTTCATGTGGGCGTTGTTCGGATGTCTAGTCAGTTTAGTCTTCGTCAGGCAAGCTTCGCCAGCAGTCCAGGCCCAAGCTCTGTTGAATTGCAGGTTCTTCTAATGCGTTGGGATGTATTCGTGTTTGGTGGTAAGGCAGGCTGGGACTGAGCGACCATAAGCGACCTACACGTCATGGAACCCATGATCCCAAGATCGTGATCTTCGCGTGCAAGCCACGATATGCCACGATACTTGTGATCTTCATCAAACTCTGTAACTTCAGGCGGGAAGTGGGGGCTCGACGGTTGATCACAGCTAAAGACAGCACGCATCAGCATGCAACAAGAAGAAGATGTCCAAGTGTGGAGAACTCTAGCATCGCGAGGCTGGATTTTGAGTGCGTGCGGCCCAGGTGCAGCTGCCGTCCACCCCAACAGCACCTTCCCTGCCGCAGACTTCGGATAGGCCCTGCACTGCTAGGAGCCTTGCTTCCGATGAATGCATCAGCCCATTTAAAAGAACTCTCGGTTCGGAGCTGGTTCCGTGAGGCAGGCCTCTGTGGCATGCGCCCAAGTGCTCTTGCTGTAGATGTGCAGTGGATTCAGCAGTTCAGCGCAGTGACACCAAGGCCTTGAAGTCCGATTTATCACCACAGGCACGATTCGCGGCGACATTGAGCTTGGCCTTGATTGTGAAAGCGCTGTGCATGCTCAGCAGCTCAGCTTTTGTTGGAGAGAGGCTCACACATTTTGACATTGACGTGTCTGACAAGATGTTACAAGTACTGACGAACTAAGATGACGCAAAGATCCTCTTTGCATCACCAGGAGACATCTCAAGCTTTAACTGCCTTGCGAGAAAACATGTTTGGCTTTGTCCCGTCTCGTGGTTCCTCTAAGTCAAGAGATGTCAAGAGGTACTTTTCCCCCTGACATCTTGTCACCTTGGAGATTTTGCCGTCAGCTCAAGTCTTAGAGGCCGGTTGGCCCCTAAGGCAACATGCTGTGCTACGTGTCGCCGCTGCCACAGGCCGCCTGATAGACAGATCTTCTTCACTGCGCCTTGACTCGCCCCATCCCACCGCCAGGTACAGCAGTTTCAGAAACAGGGTGACACAGGTGAAGCAGATTCCGCTCCGTTTATGTCTATTCTCTACGCAGGCTGGCAGTGGCATGGAGCTCAGTCATGCATGGTCAAAGGTAAGATTGTGCGTCTGCTTGGCTGGGTCCAAGGTGTTTTTATGGTACATTCGCGTATTTCGTGACGCAGAAGAGTGGATTTTTGGTGTCGCCGGGAGCAATGTGGAAGGCTAATGCTGGTTTAGCTTTTTCTATCTTTTGCATTTTGAACAACATGAACAACTTGGAATATAGCTTGATGGTCGGTGGCACTCTGAGGCTGGTCTACTCTAACGTTGCTGGTGCAGTTCTTGGTATTTATTACGTCTGGGGATTCCAGCGAAACTGCCGCGACAACAAGGCTGGGCTGATCATATGAGTGCCTACAGTCCTGTCTGTGCATCTGATCACCACAGGCCTTGCAACAACTTCATCTGTACTTTCGCGCCGTGGGAGTCATTGTCTGCCTTCAGTGTGGCTTCGAATGCAGTAGCTGTCATCTTCCAGGGTGGGTGGTCGCTGTCACGCCATTTCAGGCTTGGCGATCTGCTCCTTGACCCGGGGGAACGCGCTCTTCTTCAGTGGCCTCATGTCCTCCCTGTCCAGCATCGTGAGCGCTACATCTTTATGCTCCACTTTGCCGAAGGTGCGGTTTGTGTGGAATGTGTGCTGAAATTATTTGAAATTGGTAGGTTAGCGAAGCTCAAAACCACAGATGCCTGTAGATTCCGAGTCGTGCATTCGGCTAGTTGCAAGTTGTGTTCTCCGGGTGCAGCGAAACTCAATTTCCCTCGCGAGCCGCGCGCGGCTAGTGGGCAGGCACCTCGCAGCATGCGCTCGCAAGAAAGCGGACAAAGTTGGCGGAATCAGGCCCCCAACACCACCCAATGCAATGCCAAAAACATCCAAAAACTACCCCACGGCACTGCCAAGCTCCAGGCAAGTTTGTCGGTGCATGCGCCTGGCGGCTTTAGCAAGCGCAACAGCGCGGGCAGGAATCATGCTGTGCTTGTGTTTGCAACCTGAAGCAAGATCCAAAATGCATCAAGACATCACTGTTCACCAGTGCTACAAACCATTTGCAGACTACTTGTAAAAGCCGGGCTGTCGGCTTTCAAATGTTCGTGCTGCACGATCGTGAAAACATCAACCGACAAGTTCCAGATGTCATGCCCGAGCCCGTGAAAGTCTCGCTTAAACTCTCAGCAAGCGTTGGATTGCTGGCCTGGTGCACACGGGCCAGAGCTTGATGTTTGGCAGAGTCAGCAGGTATATGATATATGATACCGGATCGAAGCTTCGTCGAAACTTTTGGGGGTCTTGGTCATCATCATCACCGTCACCATCATCATCATCATCATCGGCAACATGATTGAGATTGTTATCACTATCATGAACAACCTTTGGGAGTGCACGCGAACACTCCCACATGTTCAAGCTACTAGCCAAACTCACATAAACAATTAACAACGAGAGCAGGGCTTGTCGCATCATCCTTTCTCCAGACCGTTCGCGACGAGCCTGAGTGCAAATAAGAGCGGTGGGGTGGGAAGGGTCCCAGCCTGCGAGCACCATGCAGCGTGCTGTGCTGCAGTCAGCGCGGAATCGGTCAAAAGCACGATGCAGGAGTTGCTTTGTAGCCGTACAGCCGTGAAAGCAGGAATCCGTCGAGAAAAGATGGGTCTGAGTCATCAGAGAGGAGGTGTGCATGGAGGACCTCGAAAAGAAATAAATGCAGAACCTTTGCACGGGTCCTGGTGCAGGATGGTGCAGGTGTTTCGTGCTGCAGTGGCATACAGGATCATACAGGGTCGACCTCTGACTCCCTGAAATGCTGGCGCACGGATGCGCATGGCGCGTGCTTGCCTCCTGTACGTGCGAGCATCGCTTCTGGCTGTACGTGGTGCTGCAGAGCCCCTAATCCTGACACCCGAGGCTCTAAATAAAGCCCGATCCAACCTCCAACTCCGAACCCAAACTCAGCCTGAAACCCTGGACCATAAGACAAGGAATACAGCCGGGCATGCAGTGAGCAGTGAGGACGTGCTTCTATGGCACAGCCCAAAGGCATTCTCATGAGCCAACCAGCCGCCTCTATCTCCCAATCTGTCCTTTCAGATTTAGCTTTTGAGCTTCGGCTGTAAAGCATTCAAGGGATAATGCAGGAAGAACTTGCCTGCCACTGGAGGTCATCAAGACTCAGTGCTCCGCTTCCATCAATGTGGAGCTGCTCACTGTTGGCCTTTGTTCCTCTGTGTTGTGGGTGAGCTGTGGACTGATGCTATGGGACATGTGGATCACGGTTCCGCATCTCAGCTAAGAGCAGCGGAAAAGCTTCCCACCAAGGTCTCAAACAAACGAAGTGAACCCGCTCCAATCAGCCAAATCAGCGCATGTCAGAGTGTAGGCATGCAAGTTTCAACAGTTCTGTCTTGGCCGCTTGTTCTGCAGCAAGCTACTAAGGAATCTTTTCTGCATCACCATCCAGCTTGTCTGCGGCTTCTTTGTGCTCTTATTTCCCAGGGAGGTTGGTGTCTGTCAAATGCACTTCTCGGCACACGCCGCTGACGGCTTTACTTTTTCAAGCCAGCATTGTCGCCAGGAAGAGGGAGATTTGGTCCACAGACCATCACGATCACCAGTCTGTGCTTGGCTTCTGCCAGCTGAACATGACGACGTCCACGGGCTGAGATTGTCTTGCTTCCACGGTGTTTGGTGTAGACTTCAAATTTCCGATATTCTGTATACGGCCAAATCAAAAGCAAGGCAGTTTGTTGTTGCGAGGTTCCAAATGTCATCGGATAAGGCTGCGTGGACATTAGCACACTGCTTCCTCACACCGATTTCGCTCTGCCCGTAGCGTCGTTGTAGAATCGAACACTTGCGCTCGTCAACTTGATGAATCGGGCTCGCTGCCGTCGCCTGCCGTGCACGGTTCTGGAGGCAAGCTCCAATCAGCTGCAAAATGAACAGCCGAAACATTAGTTAGGCTTTTGGAATCTTTTGGACGAGTCGGCAAAGATGATTTCGCATGCACGAACGACACCGTCGTAAGTGTATGCATGCACGTGTGTATGTATGTGTGTAGAGGCAGGTAGGTATGTGTGTATGTGCATGTATGCATACTTGGATCCATTGTTGCATGTGTACTTGTTTGCATTGTTGTCTTCGAGATGATTCGAGGAAGCGCAGGCAGAAGAACACACGTCCATGTCCTCGCGGCCGACTCTTGCCGGGCGAACCGCTGCGGCAGCGGCAGCAATCCGTGCTGCCTTAGCAGCATCTGAAGCCAGACAGGCCGCACAGTGGGCACCACAGGACTCCGGAAGCTACCGTGTGCAGATCCTGCCGCTGCTTGCCAGTTAAGTTGAGCAGGTCACAGGTTGATTGAGGGACCATGAGGGACATTTGAATTTGACAACTGCTGAACCCCACGCCAGGGTGCACGGATAGCACGACCTTTTTTTTCATTGTATCTCCAAAGTGTTTTTTGCTGTTGAGAACGACGCTTGCAGTCGCTTTCAGTGTTGATGACATTCAGCTCACGAAACACTGCGTCTTCGTGTACTTGATCCCTTGCCAGAGCCTCTGCCAGTCTCTGCCGTGGCAGTCCCCGAACAGGTCAACGCCAAGTTTGCATGTGCTTACGTTCAGAGACTCCGCAAAATCCTGGTGCTCCCCAGTCTCGTCCGGTTGTTCCGCGGCTCCTGCTCAGGCGCAGTGTGCATGTTCTACTTAAGTCCCGCTCGGGCCTGTTTCGGCTTTTCAACGGCAATCTTGTCGATCGTTTTTGCTCACATCGCCGAATCGCCGCCATCCAGAACACTGAGTCGACGTCCTCGAGCACTTGGTCATCGATAAACACATCGTCCGCCAGCACTTCATCGACCTCTACGAGTATCAGACGACGTTGACGTCTTTTGTTTTGAGCACCGCCCGTTCATCGAGTTTACATCCTCGATTTCCACATTATCATCTATGTGTACTATATCGACCGCAAACACAAGCGCAGACTCGAGTTTGATCACTTGTGACCACATGTGACCACCAGCACAAGCTCAGTCCAGTGCTATCCGAATCTCCGACTACAGCTTCGTCCACCGCAACATCTACGTGCTTCAACGTCTGTCGTTTGTGACTTTTCTTCCACGTCGACATCACCCACCCAGTACAACTTCCTCGTCAACGTCAACGACCACATGCTCGACTTCAGGGTGATGAGCGACGTTTTCGTCTACACTCACAGCGACTATACCATACCTTGTGCATAGACGTCTTCGAGAACAGCATCATCGAGCTCAACATAATCGACTTCCACAACAATCAAATCCACTTGCAGCATGCAATGCAAGAAACAGCAGGTCACCTCCTCTCCCACTTTTTTCACGAGCACACTGCTCCGCTAATGATTTTTACGCTTACATCGACTACGGCTAGTCTAGCAGTCCAGCCAACTTGTATAACAGCTCCCAACATGCGAGCCACGAGTAGAAGTGCCATACCTCAGCTCTTCAGATGCGAGCATCGAGCAAGAAAAGTCAAGACATCCCTGCAGCACATGGCCATTCCATCACAAGCCACACGTACAGATTTGCAGCCTACAGTGGACACAAGTTCGTGGACAATCCGTCCGCAGGCAGCAAAGTGCTGACCGGCCACGAAGTCTACAGTGAGCCGTCAAGTGTGTACAAATGCTTTGCAGTACTCATCGCTGTCCATCTGCAGCTTTTCTCGCACACCAACGATCTTTGTTCACTCTCAGCTGAACTCAACATGTCGCAGCATGGTGACGCTGGTGTCTCTATTTGTGTCCGTCCGTGTCTAGGTCTCTATCTGTCTGTCGGTCTGTGTGTCGGTCTATTTGCGTGTTTGTGTGTGTATGTGTGTGTGTGTGGGTTGTCATTGTGTTTCGCCGGAGTTCCAGCTGATTCAACAAGCTGGCGGATGCGTTGCGGTGCAAAAGTGACCAAAATCCCTCCGAAGCATCTGCAGGACTATGGAAGTACAGTGGTGAGCTCAGCACACCCCACCCTGAAAGATTGCCAGGGCAATTGGCCATCCAGAGCTTCTGGGTTTTCGAATGTGGAGCTGTTTGTGAGGTTTCATCTACTGCCGGGACAGGAGGGACCTGGTAGTAGGCACGCCTGCTTCCTTCGCCTTCGGGCTGTTTGTCATTGCCAGCAGGTCTGCATTGAACTAGTAGCTAAAACTTGAGTCAGATGTGCATGCGCAAGGACTTTCCCGGGCTGACTCAGCTGAGGTTAGAGTGGAAAAGCGGCTTCTGCTTGTGCATGCATGGATCATGAGGTGCAAGCCATCAGTCAGAGATTGATACTCATGCAATCACATTGCAGTATGGCAGGTATGTCTGATTGCATAGCATCGTTTGCCAGCTCGCTTGCATATTGGCTCGCAGAATCTCACAGACATTTCTGGATTTCTTGTATTGCCGGGCCGACGTCGCCTTCCCTACAACGCGTGCCGGGCCCTGCCGTCTCGTGAGAATCATTTGATGACAGGACACAACGTTATCCGATGTTATCCGCCTCTTTATGATGTTTATGGCTACGTCTTGCCTCAAGAACCACACATAGCCACACATCTGCATGAGGCTGCATGGGGTTGTTGGTCAGTGCGAAACGGCCCTTTGCAGTGTAATCGCGTTGCCTGCCAATATCATAAACTCAGTGCACGTGGTTTAGCAGCGTCCACACTGGGCCAGCCAAAGCCAAACCTCAAAACCGCCCGTCCCCTCTCGAGCTCCGATCTCCGTGTCGCGCTTTGCGGCCAAAGTTTCAGGGGAAACAGCAAGGTTCATGAGCTCTTAGAGTTTATTTCCGCTCGTTATTGCTGCTACGAAAGCCCGTGACCTTTGACTCATCATTGTCCCTTCTGAAGTCTGTGGTGACAGATGCAAGAGGGTGTGAGCGCTGCATACTAGTGGCACGGACGGCCTATCGGACACTGCAAAAAAGCACACGCTTGACAAATGCAGGGCTTCAATTGTGATTCTTTGCCAACGCGAGTGTCGGACGAATGGTCGTGTCGCACTGAAAGGTGCATTGTTCTGGCCCCGCTGCCAGCCCCGGACTCTTCCGGGGCTGTGCATGGCGCGCAGGCAGTGGAGCTGATTCCACAGAAAGCATGGCATCGTCGACTTTGCCCCCTGAGGTGACGACGCAGCAGGGTCTGGCGAGTCGAATGGTTTCCAGGTGCTGGGCACAGAGTGGATAACATGATGCCCGCACGGTCATGATCTATCTCTATCATCCCATGCCATTTGGACACGACATGGTGCTGCAAATCATGGTGATGCCGCATCCTACGCCAGAACATCACTGCTGGAGCCATCGCGCATGAATCCTTGCATTGCGCTCCCACTCTACGGGATTTGGCAGGTTTATCGGGCGCCGACAGGCTGCAGTCAAGGCGGCTGCTGTGCCAGAAGCTAAAGCCTCAGCCGGCCAGAGGTGCACTCACCGAGAAGGCTCCGCAATGGGAGCATTCTGCCTAAGTTTCCAGGCAGAAGCTCCTTTGGTCTCACCAGCGTCCAGTCCATCTGGACTCCATGAGCTCTTAGAGGCACCGAAATTTCTCGGAAATGGACAGCTGTGCTTTTGAGGTAACATCCTCGACACACTTGTCAGGTGCACAAAGATAGGCCTCCAAGATGCAGAGTAGAGGCCGCGCTCACTGTTGGCTTGGTGTGGTACATCATGTGTCTCGTGATTGAACACAGGTGGCAACGCATACAGCAAAGAACTGGGGCGGCAGGCACGAAAACGAGGAGTGCTCTGGAACGCAGCATGTGCTTTACGAGAGACTGAGTACGGAGTCCGTCTACCTCGCCCACGCGAGCTGCAAGCTGTGCTGATGTCTTTATGCTTGGGACCCGCTGCCTGCTTCTCCCCATCATGTGCAGCAGTCGAAACATCAGCACAGACCAGCATACCGAAGCTCGAAGCAGTTTGGACACAACTGCAAAACGGGAGGTAAGCGCTGCCCTTCAAGATATCATGAGCATTTGAAGATCTCTGCATGAGAAGAGGGGGGAAAGTAACTCAATTCGATTTGACGGCAGGGACGTCAGTGTACCTCTGGAATTTCTGGCCGTAGATCCGCATATGGTGTAAATCTAGGACCGGGTGCCTCGGTCACCATGCGACATGGCAACCTTCATTCCTGGCAGTCTGAGATTATCCAATAAACAAGGTCGGTGGCTGGGGGGATGCGGGGCGATGGGGGGCAGGTTGCCGGGAAGGAACTGCGAAGAGGAAGGAGGACAGTAGGGGCCGACACGCCCGAATTGCATCGCTCAGATTGAGCTTTAATTTAAGGCTCAGGATCAGAGACGCCACGAGCCCTTCAAGATTCGCTGTTGAAACATTCCGGATCACTGTACAACCAGCAGGATCGATGCATGGCAGTTCACGACTGCCTGAGCGATTCTCGTATTCCGTTTCACACAGCCGGAGGCTTGAAAGAATCGAGCTGTGTCAACGAAAGGTTTCTAGACCTGTGCCCCAGGTTGGCGTCCTAGACGGTCACGACACAGACTCCGCATCCGACTTGGTCGCATGCCTAGTTACTAGTTCCAATGGTCCAAAGGCATTCAAAGCCGCGTGCAAAAAGGCAGAAGCAGAAATTGATAGCAGAGATGTATTTGCAGGTTGCAAAGTTGCTTCCAGTCGCTGTCGGCAGACGGATGAAGGCCGGAAAGCCGTTGCTTGGCAGTTGCGCACGTCGTGTGCGTAATGGTTAGCATTCGCATGTCTTATGTGGTGCCTGTCTCATAGCACATGGCTTCTGCCTTGTGCCGGTAAGGATCTGTCCGGTTCCACAAACGGGGTAGCAAACTGAGGAGTACGCATGATCACTGCAGCATTGTTTGGTACCGAAAACGTTTAGCGAGATGTACTGCTCTCTCGGATGATTTCCTTAGCACGCAGACACGGTTCTGAAGAAGCAAGTCTTGCACCTCCTCAGACAGTGTTATTGGTTCCATTCGCAGGAATTTGTCATGTTACAGTGTTCCTTGCATCTTGCTCAGTGCGTATGTTCTAATGCGACAAGCCCCGCGCGATGGAAGCTAGTAGAGAAAGACGGTTAGAGACAGACGGAGAAAGATTGCCTGTATGCTAGATTGAGCGAGAAGTTGATATCGAAAGCATGCAACAGTATCAATGTTGTGATTTTGCGGTCTGCTGCAAAAGGGGTCGCCGGAAATATTCTAAAAAAAGAAGTCCACCAGAGCTGCGCAGGAAAAAGCTTGGGGCAACAGTGGAGGAAAGTCGCGGAAGTAGTCTTGAAATTAGACAGCAAAGTTGATCCGCCCAGGAAGGGGATGCCGGCTGGGGAGGGTTGGATCCACTTTTTGTCCATGTGGTGTTCTGTATGTTTATCTATCTTGCAACACTTTTGCCTAGCAGGTTCGCGGTCATCAGGCACTGAAAGAATGGAGTTCGATGGTCCCCCGAAGTCCGGTGGGTAAGGAACTTGACCTTAAAGTCATGTTCAGCATTGCAAACTTGATGGACTTGCCAATTCGGTGCCTCAAGGTGGATTAGCCACCACCAGCATAGCCGGCTTCTGCATGTTAAATTAAACGCTTCGCGTCGCCTCGACCCGGCTGTGGTGCATTGTTTCGGAAAGCAGCAACCCGACTACCAAGGCCCACTGGCTTGAAACCCGAAACTCAAAACCCCAAACCTTAAAGCTTCAAAAAGGAAACCCTAAACCCAACACCCGCAGCGTGTAGGGAGAAAGCGCAGCCCCTGATGCAACCGTGAAGCTCGCCTGCCATCGCCAAGCACCAACCCAACAGCCGACTAAATGGGAACAAAGGGGCCGGGGCCTGCCGGGGGGCTCGGTGGCCGGGCCAGGGGGTTGGGGGGGGGGGGGAATTCGTAAGTGGAAGAAGCGAAACTTTACCTTGGGACCTTGGGCTCATCCAGAGGTTCACACAGAGGAGGGGGAAGGGTGACCTTAATAGAGGGAATCCGTATAGGAACCTCTGACCTCTTCGGCCGGGGCTGAGGCGAATAAACACAAACCACGAGAATTTGCAATAGCAATAGGCATTGCATGGATTGGTGTGAACCTGAAGCCATCCTTGCATAGTGCATGGAGCCTGGACAAGAAATTACAGGAGTATGGATTCTCACGCAAACGGAACTTGCGTGTTGTTATGGAGCCTCGAACCGGCTCGAAAGTCACTGCCTGCGAGGATGGCCTTTCAATCAGCCAGGCTGGGACATGCAAGTCTTGGGAGAGCCGGTAAGCTGTGCAGCTTTGATCAGTATCATGACGGCTTGGCGTGCTTCAGCCTTTCTTCCACAATGCAAAGTGGCCTATGGAGCAAGGCTTACCTGGAAGCAATGGCTGAGATGGAAGACCGACTCAAACGTGAGCATGCAACTGCTGGAACGTGTGAAGCTTACTCTGAGATCCTCAGATCTTCGCAGTCCGCAATCTTCGTGAAGAGCAGAACATGCGCCGAGCATCACCCATCCGAGCCGCGTCGAGCGTTCGCTTCACTTCTCCTTTCAAGGTGTGTCAACAGCTGCACGATTGCTGCAGGCCGAACACTCAGAGACTGGGAAACTCGTCGGATAGAGTGGTACTCATACTCGAAGTTCAGAAGCTACTAGATGTTACTAGTTGCGGATAGACACCTCTGGGGGCTGGGACTTCTTGGGCCGGAGCCAAGGCCGGGTCTGGTGCGCCAATCTTGGCGACTGCCGAGCAGCCCTGGTGTTGCTGGAGGCACTCCAGCACGATGTGGAAACAAGATCAGTCAAGCACCATCTTGCTCCTACAAGTCTTTGTTTGGTGAGAACCTGAAGTGAGTTGTTTGCCGACCCCTCCCCGCCGGGTCCAAACATGCCGATTCGCTCTGAACTGTCACGAGGATCTCGTCCCAACCACACCCGGTCCTAGTGACAGTGGACGCTTCCCAGCCACGTATCCGACCTGAGCGCATGAAGAATGCAATTGTCAGCTGCAGACCCAAACCCGAACCACACCACACCATTGGCGGGCGAGGGGATGCCAACCATGCGCGGGGAGGTAGGACCGGCCGCACCGGGATCAATGTATGCACTGCTTTCTCTGGGCTATTCGAGGCAAGCGCCAC